ACACACACACACACACAGAGGTTTCACACTGATGAAGCTATGTTCCAAAACTGTAAAATGTCACCATCATCTCACCCTCAAAGCGGACAGGTCGATTTCGTCCAGACTCCGAGCTGGAGAGTCACTCGCCATGATGGAGGACACAAAAAGCCGCTCTCAGTTGCCAAGATATCCTGAAACGGCCTTTCTTTCTTTTTTTTTTGCTGTCACGACCGTGTGGTCCTCTCTGGTGCTCAGTCTCTACTGTCCTACACGGTGATGTCTCAGCGAACCCGACAGAATAATAACAGTCTCCTTATGGTCGGCAGCGAGACGTGCCTGCCTCGGGCCGGGAGCGCACGGCTAGAGCGCAAACGCGGGGAGGATGGGAAGCAAGTGCGCCGTGTACGTTTGCAGCTCCAGGTCCATGTCTGCGGGATGTAGACGGTTACAGAGAGAAGGTGAAGCCGACGTGGAGAGTGGATTGCTGCTACTGTTGGTCTTAGAGCTGCTGCTGCTGTGACAGCCAGTGGATATACAGAGGGAGGGAGGGGGTGGGGGGGAGCGCACTGCCTACTGCCTCAGCAAACCACGCCTGCTACTGGGCGGGGTTTGGTGAGGCAGCACGGACTCCCAAACTTTCTTTCCAACAAGCCTCATAATATTCTGTACCTACATAACAGCGGGGTTTAATTAAACGATGCACCGCGTATGTTATTGTATTAACGTTTTAGGACAGTATTTAGAATATTTTTAGGATTACTTTGAAAAAAAAATCTATTTTTATGGTTGTTTTTTGACACAAATTGAAATAATAAAACCCTTTTTTTAATCCAAAAATGAATGACCCAGCATCCTTTATTACCAAACTCCACTCCGTTTATATGCAGACTGTTAAATATAAAGGTTACCGTCAAGATAAACCATAAAAATTTGCTAATGCACGTAAGTGAGAAACCAGATTTGTTAACTAGAGAGAGTGAAGTTACCTGGTGCATAGGAATACATGATGTTCATACAATCATTTAAAGGAAATACAGATATTGAAAGTCTTCTGTTATAACAAAATGTAACCAGTGCTGAGTATGATTTGACTTCTGGCATGAGGAAATGTTCCGGCTGCCAATGCAATCATAAAAAACTGCATTGACAAGACACGCTATGTGATCAACAACTGTGAGCGAAACAAACAAAATAATTATTAGGAATCTGGTGTATGAACAGGTGTTATTTTATGTGTGCACAAAAGGGTGTGTGGCCTGCCAAATTTAATAACCGAGCTGCATTCTAAAGCAGTGGTTCATTCGTCAGGTTGTGTGATAAATCAAAACAACTGAGGAAACAAAGAGTCAGTTTACACATACACATTATACATAATCGCTTTACAGGTCACATACAATAAGAATCCCAATGAAAAATGAATTTCCCCTTTAGAGTGTTGTCAGAAAACCAACAGGAACTGCAAGGAAACTGGAAACGTACCAAGCAACCAACTGTATTCTCAGGAAGACTTTCCCTCTGGCATCAGTTGCGTGCTATATGGAAAATATTGCTTAGATTTTCATTGTGACTCTATTTTATGCCGTGACATAATAGAAAGGCATTGCCATAAGAGAGAAATAATTTGGCCAACTGAAACTGTACACTAACTGTAACAGCTGATGAGAGTAAAAACACTGATGGAAAACATTCTCAAACTGCCAATGATACTATATAGTCCTATAGTAACTAGAGGAGTCACTAAATTTGCCAAAACACAAGCAATGCAGAGA